GAAGTGTGGCGGCTGACCGGAGCGAATGTTTCGGTGAAGTCTCGTCCGTGCTCCTGGTCGAAGCCGCGTACGACCCAGCGTGCTTTGAACTTGTCGATGGTGCCGTCTGCTTTCGTTTTCACGCGGAAGACCCATTTTCCGGTGAGTATGGTCTTGTTTCGTGCTACGCCGATAGGGACGACCTTCCAGGTGTTGCGTTCTTTTAACGCCTTCAGCTCCCTGTCCATGGCTTCGCGCCATTTTTCCTTATGCTCCCCCCCCAGAGCCTGTTGAACCGTCGCAGGCTCCTTAGGAATGTCGGCGCCGTGGACTGCGGTGACGAGTCCAAGGATTTGGAGTCCACTCTGTGTGTAGCGGGGGAGTGTGGTATCCTCGGGATAGACTGCTTCGTCTCCAGCTTCTGGATCAGGTGCGAAATTGGGTCCTACGCGTTCTGCTTCGTTGGTGTTGACTTCAGCGGGTGTAACGTAACCGTTGTCGGCGAAATGGTAGTAAGCTTCGGCGTTGATGCTTTCGCGTGGGTCTTCGTCGTCCATTGGTACGTCCACTGGGCAGTAGGGAAGAGGTCCGGCTTCTTCCGAGGCTCGGTCCACGTTCTGCTCGTCCCAGTCAGCTTCGTCTTCTGCCGAGGCGAAGGCTCGGGTTCCAGTGAATCCGCCCGAGGGATCAGGTCTGTTTGCTCTTACGTAGGCGAGGTGAACGTCGAGGGTGAGGTTCTCGTAGAAGAGGACGTCACGTGCTGCGACTGTTTCTTTACTGTTGATGTCGAAGATTTTCCATGCGTTGTGGTGTTTTTCGATGCCCAGGTGTACTCCCCACTGTGCTCGTTGGGAGAATCGACCGGCGCGTGCAGATGGTGGTCGGTACTGTACCATGCATCCGAAAACCCGTAACATTTTTGTGCTGCCCAATTTTCCTGTCCACAGCAGATGCGGTGATGCGTTGTTCGGAAGCGATGATGACGAGAGCAAGTTGTGCAGCATGACGGCGTGGTCCATTGCTTCGGGCCACTGGTGGTTGGGTAGATGCATGCCACGTAGCAGCTTGCGCATGGTGGCTTGAAGTGTCCTGTTCATCCTTTCTGCTACGCCTTGTTGTTGATGGGCGTAGGGAAGGGAGATGAGCCGCTTGATTCCCTTTTCTGCCAAGTAGTCCTTGAACCTCTGTGAGGTGTATTCTCCTCCTCCGTCTGACTGGAAGCTTTTCAGTTTTACGCCCGATTCTCTCTCTGCTGCAGGAAGCCACGCGACGAACGCTTCGAAGGCCATGTCGCGGCTTGGTAGGTTAAGATGCCAGACGTATCTGGTCGCGGCGTCGATGAAGGTAATCGTGTAGTTGTAAGTGTTCTGTCCAGGTTCGCGGTTGTACAAGATGTCGCTGTATACTTTTTCAAGCGGTGCGTAAGCTGGTGCACTTGGATTGTGATGGGATGGAAACGGTTGTCGTGCTAGGTCTGCTTCAGGGCAGGTGAAGCATGTTCCTCGAGCTCGCTGAAGTTCTCTGCCGTCGGTTAGTAGGAGTGAGTCCTTGTCGAGCACTCCTGCTCTGATTGTATTGTTTAACACGGTGTGACTTGGATGTCCCATTCTTGCGTGCAAGGTTCCTTCGGAGGCGCGATGTCCGGGTGAGCGTCGGTACATGTCGGAGTTGGAGTAGAAGCCGGCGGTGAAGTTGGCGCTGCGGTGAACTTCTCGCGGCGTTGGTTGAAGCTGTTGTGCGGGTATTGGTGGTGTATCGTCGACGAAGGGTGGTGCCGTTGAAGGACCGGCGACGGGTGTTGATGTTTCTGCTGCTACTGTCGTTGCTGCTGCCGATGTTGTTGCCTCTGCTGCTGCTGATGTTGTTTCTGCTGCTGCCGATGTTGTCTCTGCTGCTGCCGATGTTGTCTCTGCTGCTGCCGATGTTGTCTCTGCTGCTGCCGATGTTGTCTCTGCTGCTGCCGATGTTGTCTCTGCTGCTGCCGATTGTTGAATTGTTGCTAATGCTCTTGTTCTCTCTGTTTCAGGGATGGTGTGCGAGTACCAGAAGCCGCCTGGACTGAAGTCGGGGTCAAGATCCGGAGGGTGTGTCCAGTTGGTGAAGTTTACGATGGCGTCACTGTCGGCGGTGCCAAGGTCGGGAACGAAGTCAAGAACGAAGACGTTGTTCTTGAGGACCGCCTTCCCGATGTAGAGACCTCCTCTCCCGTGGTACAGCTTGAACTCCTGAGTTGTGCTGTCTGCCTCGAGATGAATGCCTTTCGCCATCAACTGACTGACGCTCAGTAAGTTGTAGCCCAAGCCCTCTGCGATTAAAACCTTGGACATTTGCAGGATGACGTTTGTTTCTCGTGACTGAAGTTGTACTATGCCTTGTCGTCGTGTGCGCAGGTTTTGGTTGTTGGCGACGGTGATGACGACTTCTCGTTGAAGCTGGTATTCACGTTGTACGAAGCGTCCTGAAGAACACATGTGCTGGCCACAGCAACTGTCCAAGAACCACGTGTCCTTCCCGGATGGTTCGCTTTGGGCGATGGCGGCGTATGTCGGATTTGGTTGACGTGCTTCGCGGCGGGGTGTAGCTTCGTCGAGTTGTTCTTCTGGTGCGTAGTACGGTGGTGATTCCATGACGCAAGAGTCGCTCAATCTTGCCATGCAGCTGACGATGTTTCTTGCTCCTTGTGCAGGTTGTCCCGTTGAGGTCGTTGAAGCTTGAATTTGAGTCGTCGGGTTCGCCTGTGTTGACGCGACTTGGTTGCTTGAAGGTCGTAGCTGCCGCTGCGGAGTTGTTGACTGTTGACGATTCGGGCAGTGCGTGCGCGGGTGTCCTGAAGTCTTGCAGATGTGGCAGAAGGGAGGTACTGGCTTCGGTTGTTGCTGTCGATTGTTGTAGTTGTTGTGACGTCGTTGAGTGTGAAACGCGAACTCTGATGTTGTCGTCTTCTTTCTGTGTCGTTCTTCTTGCAGGTCCATGTCCTGCTGCTCGGCGTGAATTTCGGCGCAGAGTGCTGCTTCAGAGATTCTTCCGTGGGCTCGGAGGATAGCTTTGGTGGCGCGCCATTGAGGACCGAGACCACCAATGATGACCGTCACGAAGGCGTCTTCAGAGATCGACCCTCCGCATCGAAGAAGCTTGTCGCGCAGCTCGCGACATCGGCTGATGTATGCCATTCCCTTCTCTCCTGGCTTCATCTCGACTGTTGTTAATTGCGCCATTAACCTGCTCTGATTTACGCTGTCTGTTGCTTGATACAGGCTCTTCAAGTGGCTGTATGCGAGCTCCGCCGAGTTGCCGAAGGCCCGGTAAGACCGAATGTTCTGCTGCTGAGTTGGTGTGACGTTCCTCAGTAGAATCGTATACGCCATCATTGACTGATAGGTGTACTGCTGTTTCTCGTACTGCGTCCCGTTTGCTGGATATTGCAGGGACCCGTCGAAGAAGCCGAGTATCTGCGCGCCTTCCATCATGAGCTCGAACTCGAACGACCAGGTGAAGAAGTCCTTTCCGTCGAAGGGCCTTGATGTCTGCAGCTTCAGAACGTGCGCGAACTGTGATTGCACTTGTAACGCGTCCAGTGGTTTATCTTGTCCAGGTGAAGGCTGCGGCATGAAGCTGATCGATCCGCGCTCGTACGGAGCGAAGGTAGGTTGCTGCTGTTGATTTCCGCGCGCGTATGACGACCCGTCAAGGCTCATGGGTGTTGCTCCGTTGTTGTTGTTGCTGTTGTTTGACTGCGCAGGTCCTGATTGCTGGTGTTGCTCGTAGAAGGACATGAAGGAGAAAAACTTCTCCATCATGCTCTGGTCGAAGTTGGCGGGGTGGTTTGTGGGGGTCTCGGTTGACGTTCCCTTGGTCTTGTTAACTGCCGTGCCCTCCTCTGTCTGTAGGCCAGAGGCAGGAGGTGGAGTAGGAATAGTACCCGGGGAGCCGTTAGAGGAGCTCCTTTCCTTGTTTGTTGCCATGCCTTGTAATGTTTCTGACTTGGAAGTGGTAGAGTTTCCCCTGTTAGCTCTCATACCATGTTGGGCTGAGATAAGCCCTTAGGATCTTTTGCAGGGGAGAACTCTGGGTAGGGTAATATGTAATAGCGGAAGCTTAATGAAGAGATTGTGAACCACCTTGCGCTAGTGTGTGAGGGCAAAGTAGATTAATTATAGCAAGGAGATACAAGATTAAATAATAGTACAAGGAATATGAAGAGATACAGTTATCACTGCTTTTACTGTTGCTGTTGCGGTTCGATACAGTACGACTCGGGCAACTGCTCTGTAACGAGTCAGCTGTGTGTCCTTAACTGTCGCGCTGTACTTGTCAGGTCAAAGGTCGCTGACCTTTGACTTTCGCGTAACCTCCAGCAACCTCTCAACCTCCGAGGGTTGACTCACGGGTGCTTCGGTATGATTTACCTCACTTCTGGTGCGGTGTTTCGACACGACAGAGGCGCTTATGATTCATTGTTTCCAACACTTTTGAATGCCTCTAATCATTCCCCTGTCCTACGGACCCGCCCCCGCTAAATTCTCACTGGACCCACTGTGTGTGGACTCAAGCGAGACTTTCCTCACATATGACGGTGCTGGCTATATCTTCAAAGGAGTCAGCCTCCCTTAAAGCGACTCGAAGTCAGATTCTCCTGACGTAAGGGCGTCGTCGATATCTTGTCTGGAATCTGCCTCCCATGAGATGACTCAAAAGCCAGGTGCTCATGGCCTAAGAGGACGTTCCGTGTACCACCTAACTATTTTTGAGGTGTCTCATAAACAAGAAGCCAGATTCCCTATGCTTGAGAGGACGCCCCTTGTACCGCATCCCTGGAATCAGCCTCCATGGAGAGGACTCAGAAGTCAGATTCTCGTGACCTATAGGGCGCTCCTTGTGCTATCTCACTGAAATCTTACTGGAATCGGCCTCCCTGGGTGTGACTTTTGAGCCAAGAGGTAGGATTCGAGAGGCGCCTCAAAAGCCAGATTCGCCTGGCCTAAGCAGGCGTCCCTTGTGCCTCATCAACTCATCACATGATCATGGCATCACATGAGCCCTCCGAGCATCTCCCTCAAGCGGTACGCATTATACAGCTCCTCCTCCCACGCCTCCTCATTCCATCCCTCCTCCTCCCACCCATCCCCACCATCCTCTCCCTCGTCCTCCCCCTCCTCTGTCTCTTCGTCCATCTCCCCCCCTCCCACCCATCTCCTTCGCCGTCCCTCGCACCTCCCCCCCTGCCCCCCCCACTGTGCGCCTCATCCCACGTGAACCCCCTCGCACTCCATCTCTCCTCCCCCATATCATACAACACCTCCTCCTCACCCCCGGCAGATCAGTGTAACCAACCATTTCCGCTCTACCTCCTCCCCCTGCCACTCCCCCTCCCCTTCCTCTTCCCCTTACTCTCCTTGCCCAGCCTCCACTCCCTCCTCTCCCTCCTCTCCTCCTCTTCCCCCCCCTCCCTCCTCTCCCTCTCCCCTCTCCCTCCTCCCATCGCATTCCCCACTTCCCTTCACCACACTCACCCCCAGACTCAGCATCATCCCTCCCCTCCCTCACAACCCTCCGTGGAGCTCTTTTCCTCTTCTGTCTCGAAAAACCCTCTACCCCACCCACTCCTCCCACTCCCCCGTCCCCACCACCGCCCGTCTCTCCTCCCAACTCCATCCCCTCACCACCCACCCCCCTCCCCCTCCTCCCACCTCCCCCTCTCCCCTCCCTTCCGCTCCCTCCTCCCCCTCCTGCCCCGGCCGCCACTCCCTCCACATTTTCCACTTCCCCTGCATGATCAGCCTCATCGCCCGATCCATCCCCATCTCTCTCAACCGCTCTCTCTCCTCCTCTGTGATATACTCATACGCTCTCCTCTTCTTCCTCCCCAGCACGAAATGAATCGCCTCCGCTGCTGCTGCCGCCTCCTCCCCTTCCTCCCGCTCCCACCGCGCACAATAAAGCTGGTCTCCCAAGCCGTACCGCTGCTTGAGTGCGGCTGACATGTGAAGGCGGATCTCCCACTTGTTGTATCGGAACGTCACGCCGTAATACTTCTGCGGCACTTCATACTCCTCCTCCTGCTGCCGTTCCTGCTGCCGTTCCTGCTGCTCCTGCCTCCCCCCCTGCTGCCCTTGCTGCTGCTCATGCGAGTGAACAGCAGTGGGACCAGGAGCAGCTGGCACTGCCCTCTGAGCAGGCTCAGGCGTGGCAGGAGCAGAGGGCGCGAGAGGGGTGGAGCGAGCGCGAGGAGTGTTGCGAGCGCGGGGAGTGGAGCGGGTAGGGGGGCGACCACGACGACGTCTGGAGCGAGGAGGGGGATTCAAGAGAGCAAGTATTTCTGCCGCCTCCTCGTTATTCGCGGTGGCGAAAGGAGTGCAGAGAGCGAGAAGGAGGTGGGAGGGAGAAACGCACTCCACGTCCCGGTCGGCTGCCCGAGGAACCTGGGCAGGCCACCGGGAAGCTGCCCGAGAAGTGCGGGAAGGTGAAGAAACACGGATCCGGGACGCGAGAGCGAGGGCTTTAACAGGAATACCAGCCGCATTGCCTCGCGGACAGACTTAGATGCTGAACCTAAAGATAATCCCGCGGCAGCAGTGGCCGTTGCGTGCAATTCCTCCTCCTCCCCCCACGACGGACGCCACTGCTGCCATATCACCCACCGCTTCTTCTTGATCAGCTCCGCTGCTTTCGCCTTCCCCATCTCTCTTAACCGCTCTTTATCTCTTCCAGAAAGAAAGTCATACACTCGCTCGGCCCCACTTTTCCCCCTCGTTCCTGCTCCTCCTCCTCCCCGCTCCCTCGCCGCCCCCCCCCCCCTTCAGCACGAAATGGGCTGCTTCCGCGGCTGCTGCTGCATCTTCCACCTGATCCTTAGGCCTGCTGCTGCATCTTCCACCTGATCCTTAGGCCAACGAACCGCAGTACCACTGAGTGCTGACCCCAAACCGCTGCTGCTCCGCCTTGGTGGCTGTGAGAAACACCTGCCACGCGTTGCGGTACCAGGTGACGCCGAAGTAACGTTTGGTGGAGGGCCAGGGGGTTGGGCTGTCGCACGCCAGGCGACGAGGAGAGCCGATGCGAGGCGGATTGGGGCGAGGGGGTTGGAGTGAGGGGGTTCAGCATGAGGGGGCGTGGAAAGTAGATTAATTATAGCAAGGAGATACAAGAATAAATAATAGTACAAGGAATATGAAGAGATACAGTTATCACTGCTTTTACTGTTGCTGTTGCGGTTCGATACAGTACGACTCGGGCAACTGCTCTGTAACGAGTCAGCTGTGTGTCCTTAACTGTCGCGCTGTACTTGTCAGGTCAAAGGTCGCTGACCTTTGACTTTCGCGTAACCTCCAGCAACCTCTCAACCTCCGAGGGTTGACTCACGGGTGCTTCGGTATGATTTACCTCACTTCTGGTGCGGTGTTTCGACACGACAGAGGCGCTTATGATTCATTGTTTCCAACACTTTTGAATGCCTCTAATCATTCCCCTGTCCTACGGACCCGCCCCCGCTAAATTCTCACTGGACCCACTGTGTGTGGACTCAAGCGAGACTTTCCTCACATATGACGGTGCTGGCTATATCTTCAAAGGAGTCAGCCTCCCTTAAAGCGACTCGAAGTCAGATTCTCCTGACGTAAGGGCGTCGTCGATATCTTGTCTGGAATCTGCCTCCCATGAGATGACTCAAAAGCCAGGTGCTCATGGCCTAAGAGGACGTTCCGTGTACCACCTAACTATTTTTGAGGTGTCTCATAAACAAGAAGCCAGATTCCCTATGCTTGAGAGACGCCCCTTGTACCGCATCCCTGGAATCAGCCTCCATGGAGAGGACTCAGAAGTCAGATTCTCGTGACCTATAGGGCGCTCCTTGTGCTATCTCACTGAAATCTTACTGGAATCGGCCTCCCTGGGTGTGACTTTTGAGCCAAGAGGTAGGATTCGAGAGGCGCCTCAAAAGCCAGATTCGCCTGGCCTAAGCAGGCGTCCCTTGTGCCTCATCAACTCATCACATGATCATGGCATCACAAGCCCTCCGAGCATCTCCCTCAAGCGGTACGCATTATACAGCTCCTCCTCCCACGCCTCCTCATTCCATCCCTCCTCCTCCCACCCATCCCCACCATCCTCTCCCTCGTCCTCCCCCCTCTGTCTCTTCGTCCATCTCCCCCTCCTCCCACCCATCTCCTTCGCCGTCCCTCGCACCTCCCCCCCCTGCCCCCCCCCACTGTGCGCCTCATCCCACGTGAACCCCCTCGCACTCCATCTCTCCTCCCCATATCATACAACACCTCCTCCTCACCCCCCGGCAGATCAGTGTAACCAACCATTTCCGCTCTACCTCCTCCCCCTGCCACTCCCCCTCCCCTTCCTCTTCCCCTTACTCTCCTTGCCCAGCCTCCACTCCCTCCTCTCCCTCCTCTCCTCCTCTTCCCCCCCTCCCTCCTCTCCCTCTCCCTCTCCCTCCTCCCATCGCATTCCCCACTTCCCCTTCACCACACTCACCCCCAGACTCAGCATCATCCCTCCCCTCCCTCACAACCCTCCGTGGAGCTCTTTTCCTCTTCTGTCTCGAAAAACCCTCTACCCCACCCACTCCTCCCACTCCCCCCGTCCCCACCACCGCCCGTCTCTCCTCCCAACTCCATCCCCTCACCACCCACCACCCCTCCCCCTCCTCCCACCTCCCCCTCTCCCCTCCCTTCCGCTCCCTCCTCCCCTCCTGCCCCGGCCGCCACTCCTCCACATTTTCCACTTCCCCTGCATGATCAGCCTCATCGCCCGATCCATCCCCATCTCTCTCAACCGCTCTCTCTCCTCCTCTGTGATATACTCATACGCTCTCCTCTTCTTCCTCCCCAGCACGAAATGAATCGCCTCCGCTGCTGCTGCCGCCTCCTCCCCTTCCTCCCGCTCCCACCGCGCACAATAAAGCTGGTCTCCCAAGCCGTACCGCTGCTTGAGTGCGGCTGACATGTGAAGGCGGATCTCCCACTTGTTGTATCGGAACGTCACGCCGTAATACTTCTGCGGCACTTCATACTCCTCCTCCTGCTGCCGTTCCTGCTGCCGTTCCTGCTGCTCCTGCCTCCCCCCCTGCTGCCCTTGCTGCTGCTCATGCGAGTGAACAGCAGTGGGACCAGGAGCAGCTGGCACTGCCCTCTGAGCAGGCTCAGGCGTGGCAGGAGCAGAGGGCGCGAGAGGGGTGGAGCGAGCGCGAGGAGTGTTGCGAGCGCGGGGAGTGGAGCGGGTAGGGGGGCGACCACGACGACGTCTGGAGCGAGGAGGGGGATTCAAGAGAGCAAGTATTTCTGCCGCCTCCTCGTTATTCGCGGTGGCGAAAGGAGTGCAGAGAGCGAGAAGGTGGGAGGAGAGAAACGCACTCCACGTCCCGGTCGGCTGCCCGAGGAACCTGGGCAGGCCACCGGGAAGCTGCCCGAGAAGTGCGGGAAGGTGAAGAAACACGGATCCGGGACGCGAGAGCGAGGGCTTTAACAGGAATACCAGCCGCATTTGCCTCGCGGACAGACTTAGATGCTGAACCTAAAGATAATCCCGCGGCAGCAGTGGCCGTTGCGTGCAATTCCTCCTCCTCCCCCCACGACGGACGCCACTGCTGCCATATCACCCACCGCTTCTTCTTGATCAGCTCCGCTGCTTTCGCCTTCCCCATCTCTCTTAACCGCTCTTTATCTCTTCCAGAAAGAAAGTCATACACTCGCTCGGCCCCACTTTTCCCCCTCGTTCCTGCTCCTCCTCCCTCCCCTGCTCCCTCGCCGCCCCCCCCCCCTTTCAGCACGAAATGGGCTGCTTCCGCGGCTGCTGCTGCATCTTCCACCTGATCCTTAGGCCAACGACCGCAGTACCACTGAGTGCTGACCCCAAACCGCTGCTGCTCCGCCTTGGTGGCTGTGAGAAACACCTGCCACGCGTTGCGGTACCAGGTGACGCCGAAGTAACGTTTGGTGGAGGGCCAGGGGGTTGGGCTGTCGCACGCCAGGCGACGAGGAGAGCCGATGCGAGGCGGATTGGGGCGAGGGGGGTTGGAGTGAGGGGGTTCAGCATGAGGGGGCGTGGGAGAGGGGGGGTGATGCGAGGAGGTGTGGGTTGAGGGAGAGCAGGACAAGGGGGGCTGGAATGAGGGAGGCTGATTTCGTAAGAGCCGGTGTTGGTCTGAGAGGGAGAGAAAGGCAAGTCTTGTCGCGGAGAGGCCTGCTCCGAGGGCTGTGAGGAGGGGAACTCATCAATGAAAGGCATGGGCTGCAAGGGTTGTGCGGGCTGCAAGGTTGTGAGGCCTGCAAAGGCTGTGCTGGGTGTGAGGGTTGTGAGGGCTGCGAGGTCTGCAAGGGGTGTGAGGGGTGTGGGGATGGCGAGTCATTGACGCTAGACGTGCGGATTCCTTGGCTGGCGGTCGTTGCCCTTTGGGATGGAGTTTGGCAAGCCGAACCTGCCACTGTGGCTCGATGGGTGGGTTGACCAGAAGAGGTTCGGATGGCAGGCAAAGGGGGGGCGGCAGAAGCGGTGGCAGGAGAAGAGGCGGTGGGAGAAGGGGCGGCAGGAGAAGGGGTGGCGGGAAAAGCGGCAGAACGAGAACGGGCGGCAGGAGAAGCGACAGCACGAGAACGGGTGGCAGAAGTAGGGGTGGCGGGAGAAGGGGCAGCACGAGAAGGGGCGGCAGGAGAAGGGGCGAGAGGAGAAGGTGCCGGGCGAGAAGGGCCGGGCAGCACCACCTAGTGGAGCAGCGAAAGCAGATACGAAGAGCACGGGGAGAACTCCGTCAAAAAGAATAAAAAAAATCAACACATGCTTCTGGAAATGGATCGTGCAAAATATAAATCACAGCTAGCACAGGACAGGACATACCACAATGAGCTTCCCAGCATTTTCCGGCCGTTTGGCCACTTCGATTGCTGCCACGACTGCTGCTCCGGAAGAGATACCCACCTGCAGGGGAGCAAACACGATCCAGGCAGGGAGCATGAATGAAACCATGTAACTTTGGAGATGGAACGAAAAATGGTCTAAGTGAGAGCTGGCAAGGAGCATCCAATGGTAGCTGTAGCAGTTCTGCCCCTATTTGTTCCACCTCTGGAGAGATAGCTTGGAAACCTGCACCACTTCGCTCAGCAGCACGTCCAGCACTTTCCTGGCACTTCACTCTGAGAGCAGCTGTACCCAGGTGCCCTGTCAAACAGCCTGCTCTAAGAGATGCCTGGAAACCTTCCACCTGCACGCCCTGAACCACGCTCAGCAGCCCCACGTCCAGCACACTTCTGAACCACTGTGCACTTCCCAGCACACTGGAGAGTTGTAGCTGTACCCATCTACCTGCCCTAGTTCAGCAGCCCCACGTAAGCAGAATATCTACCCTTACTAAGAGAATAGCACCACTTTCAGCAGCACGTCTGGCACTTTCGAGTAGCAGCCCCAGTCCAGCACTCTACCTGCACCACTTCGCTCAGCAGCCCACGTCCAGCACTCCTGGCACTTCGAGTAGCTGTACCCATCTACCCTAGTTGCTCTAAGAGAATAGCTTACCTGCACCACTTCGCTCAGCAGCCCCACGTCCAGCACTCCTGGCACTTACCTAGCCCACTTACCCTCAGCAGCCCACGTCCAGCACTTACCTGCACTTTCACTTACCCTCTACCCTAGTTGCTCTAGAGAATAGCTTACCTGCACCACTTCGCTCAGCAGCCCCACGTCCAGCACTCCTGGCACTTTCGAGTAGCTGTACCCATCTACCCTAGTTGCTCTAAGAGAATAGCTTACCTGCACCACTTCGCTCAGCAGCCCCACGTCCAGCACTCCTGGCACTTTCGAGTAGCTGTACCCATCTACCCTAGTTGCTCTAAGAGAATAGCTTACCTGCACCACTTCGCTCAGCAGCCCCACGTCCAGCACTCCTGGCACTTTCGAGTAGCTGTACCCATCTACCCTAGTTGCTCTAAGAGAATAGCTTACCTGCACCACTTCGCTCAGCAGCCCCACGTCCAGCACTCCTGGCACTTTCGAGTAGCTGTACCCATCTACCCTAGTTGCTCTAAGAGAATAGCTTACCTGCACCACTTCGCTCAGCAGCCCCACGTCCAGCACTCCTGGCACTTTCGAGTAGCTGTACCCATCTACCCTAGTTGCTCTAAGAGAATAGCTTACCTGCACCACTTCGCTCAGCAGCCCCACGTCCAGCACTCCTGGCACTTTCGAGTAGCTGTACCCATCTACCCTAGTTGCTCTAAGAGAATAGCTTACCTGCACCACTTCGCTCAGCAGCCCCACGTCCAGCACTCCTGGCACTTTCGAGTAGCTGTACCCATCTACCCTAGTTGCTCTAAGAGAATAGCTTACCTGCACCACTTCGCTCAGCAGCCCCACGTCCAGCACTCCTGGCACTTTCGAGTAGCTGTACCCATCTACCCTAGTTGCTCTAAGAGAATAGCTTACCTGCACCACTTGCTCAGCAGCCCCACGTCCAGCACTCCTGGCACTTTCGAGTAGCTGTACCCATCTACCCTAGTTGCTCTAAGAGAATAGCTTACCTGCACCACTTCGCTCAGCAGCCCCACGTCCAGCACTCCTGGCACTTTCGAGTAGCTGTACCCATCTACCCTAGTTGCTCTAAGAGAATAGCTTACCTGCACCACTTCGCTCAGCAGCCCCACGTCCAGCACTCCTGGCACTTTCGAGTAGCTGTACCCATCTACCCTAGTTGCTCTAAGAGAATAGCTTACCTGCACCACTTCGCTCAGCAGCCCCACGTCCAGCACTCCTGGCACTTTCGAGTAGCTGTACCCATCTACCCTAGTTGCTCTAAGAAGCTTACCTGCACCACTTCGCTCAGCAGCCCCACGTCCAGCACTCCTGACACTTTCGAGTAGCTGTACCCATCTACCCTAGTTGCTCTAAGAGAATAGCTTACCTGCACCACTTCGCTCAGCAGCCCCACGTCCAGCACTCCTGGCACTTTCGAGTAGCTGTACCCATCTACCCTAGTTGCTCTAAGAGAATAGCTTACCTGCACCACTTCGCTCAGCAGCCCCACGTCCAGCACTCCTGGCACTTTCGAGTAGCTGTACCCATCTACCCTAGTTGCTCTAAGAGAATAGCTTACCTGCACCACTTCGCTCAGCAGCCCCACGTCCAGCACTCCTGGCACTTTCGAGTAGCTGTACCCATCTACCCTAGTTGCTCTAAGAGAATAGCTTACCTGCACCACTTTGCTCAGCAGCCCCACGTCCAGCACTCCTGGCACTTTCGAGTAGCTGTACCCATCTACCCTAGTTGCTCTAAGAGAATAGCTTACCTGCACCACTTCGCTCAGCAGCCCCACGTCCAGCACTCCTGGCACTTTCGAGTAGCTGTACCCATCTACCCTAGTTGCTCTAAGAGAATAGCTTACCTGCACCACTTCGCTCAGCAGCCCCACGTCCAGCACTCCTGGCACTTTCGAGTAGCTGTACCCATCTACCCTAGTTGCTCTAAGAGAATAGCTTACCTGCACCACTTCGCTCAGCAGCCCCACGTCCAGCACTCCTGGCACTTTCGAGTAGCTGTACCCATCTACCCTAGTTGCTCTAAGAAGCTTACCTGCACCACTTCGCTCAGCAGCCCCACGTCCAGCACTCCTGACACTTTCGAGTAGCTGTACCCATCTACCCTAGTTGCTCTAAGAGAATAGCTTACCTGCACCACTTCGCTCAGCAGCCCCACGTCCAGCACTCCTGGCACTTTCGAGTAGCTGTACCCATCTACCCTAGTTGCTCTAAGAGAATAGCTTACCTGCACCACTTCGCTCAGCAGCCCCACGTCCAGCACTCCTGGCTGCTTTAATTGACTTCATGGCTGTACCCAATTACCCTAGAAGCCGCACTTACATGAACCACACCCAATCACGCTTACCTGCACCACTTCGCTCAGCAGCCCCACATCCAGCACTCCGAAGTGTTTCACTTGACTTGATTGCTGTACACAATAGCCCTGGAAGCTGCACTTACAAAAACCACCCCGCTTACCTGCACCACTTCGCTCAGTAGCCCCACATCCAGCACTCCCGGCACAAAACCAGCGCCTATGCCACATCCTTTTGCTGTAAGGCTTCACTCTCCTGCATGAACCCAAGCGGCCCTGCTTACCTGCACCACTTCGCTCAGCAGCCCCACATCCAGCACCCCCGGCACGTTCGAGTGACCTGATATTTGTAGTACCCAATTACCGTAGCACCCACTTACCGTAGCAACCGCACCCAATGACTCTGAAAACAACTCGTACCTGCACCACTTCGCTCAGCAGCCCCACATCCAGCACTCCCGGCACAAAACCGGCACCGATGCCCTGGATCTTGTGCGGGCCTGGGGGTGGGGAGGGTGGGGAGGGTTGGGGGGGGGAGAGAGTGTTGGGGAATTGGACTCATAAGCACAAAGCCAGCGCCTATGCCCTGAATCTTGTGTGGGCCTGGGTGGAGGGGTGGGATTGGAGGGGTGAGGGAAAGAAAGGATTGACGAATGGGGGGGCACACAGGCACAAAACCGGCACCTATGCCCTGGATCTTGTGCGGGCCTGGGTGGAGGGGTGGGATTAGAGGGGTGAGAAAGGGGTAGAGAGGGAAAGCTGTGAAAGGAGGGAGAGAGAATAAGGCTCGCGTGCACAAAGCCGGGCGGCTGCGCCTTACGAGAAAAGGAAGAAAACGGGGATTCAGGAGGTAGGTACGTTTGAGACGTCTCAAAATATTACTTTTATCATGCGGAAAGGTGGTGAGAGGAGGGAGAGAGACTAAGGCTCGTGTGCACAAAGCCGGGCGGGTGCGCCTTACGACAAAAGGAAGGAAACGGGGATTCAGGAGGTAGGTACGTCAAAAGAGAGAAGGAATGAGACGGCTGTAAGAGTGTGGTGTGGGCATGAAGAGCATGTATTTGCTGTTTTTTGAGAGTGGAGGGGAGGGGGCATTGGCATTAGAAGACGTGGCAGGGAGGGTACATGACTAGATTAAGATGCAGATGGGCATGCATATAGCATATGATTACAGTCGACCATGCAAACAGACGCATAGACATGGGCATACTTGTGTCTGTTGTTCTCACCTGGCTTTCCACCTGAGATCACAGGGCTTTCCTTGGGCTCCACCCCCACGAGCTGCAGCCAATCAGAGCAGACGGAAGGAGACAGGGTGGGAAGCACTTGATAGTGATAAAACTGTGAGGGTTTTTTCAAAAACCGAATGCAACAGAAGGTATGGTGCAATAGTGCACTTGTCAGCGAGGTACCTGTGAGAGACCCTCCCTCACTAGCACAAGCGGCAGGTTTTAAGTTTATTGAGGCGTCTGAAGGCATACACTCAGGAAGGAAATGATGCAATCACTGATGAGGAGGAGGTGCAGTGAGCCTGACCTTGCATTGAGTAAAGAGTCCTCACCTTCACATCTGGGTTCTTGCTCCGAAGGAACCTTTCCGCGCCTGTGAAGGTGCCGCCCGTGCCAATTCCCAACACCAGGATGTCCACATGGCTAATGAGTGATATGGAGTGAAGAGTAAAGAAAGTACTCACCTTCACATCGGGGTTCTTGCTTCGGAGAAACCTTCCCGCACCTGTGAAGGTGCCGCCCGTGCCAATTCTCAACACCAGGATGTCCACATGGCTAATGAGTGATATGGAGTGAAGAGTAAAGAAAGTACTCACCTTCACATCCGGGTTCTTGCTTCTGAGGAACCTTCCTGCGCCCGTGACGGTGCCGCCAGTGCCAATCCCCGACACCAGAATGTCCACGTGGCCGTTTGTGCCCTCCCAGATCTCAGGACCCGTTGTCTCAAAGTGAGGGAAGGGCCTGAACTGGCCTTGAGTGACGAGTAGACACCTTCACATCAGGGTTCTTGCTCCTGAGGAACCTTCCAGCACCTGTGACTGTGCCACCCGTGCCAATCCCCGACACCAGAATGTCCACAAGGCTAATGACCCGTGGTGAAATAGAGAGAAGAATAAAGAGAGGCCTCTCACCTTCACATCCGGGTTCTTGCTCCTGAGGAACCTTCCAGCACCTGTGACTGTGCCTCCCGTGCCAATCCCCGACACCAGAATGTCCACGTGTCCGTTGGAGCCCTCCCAGATCTCAGGACCCGTCGTTTCAAAGTGCACCTGAGGTGAGAGGGGGGAGGGGGAGTGGGAGAAGAGGGATGGAAGAGCAGAGGTGAGAGAGAGCACATGCACCACGCTCAGTGACACCAGAATGTAAACATGGCCGTTTGTGCCCTCCCAGATCTCTGGACCCGTCGTTTCAAAATGCACCTGAGGTGAAGGGAGGAGGGGGGGAGTGGGGAAGGGCGATGGATGAGCAAGACCACAGGCGCCATACGATTAGTTAGCTGCCAGAATGTCCACATGGCCGTTTGTGCCCTCCCAGATCTCTGGACCCGTTATTTTAAAGTGCACCTAGAAAGCGGGAGGGGGCAGGCATAGGGAGCAGAGAGAGAGAGAGGGGGCAAGACAGCAGCTAACTGAAATCAGCTGGCTGCTCTACTACCTTGGTATTGGCCAAGTTCTATGTTTTATCCCACTATCCCACCTTGGGATCCCCGCAACTTTTGAGTCGACTCAAAAGTCACCAGCTGGCTGCTCTACTACCTTGGTATTGGCCACGTTCTATGTTAATTACCCATCTTTCTCACCTTCGGATCCTCGCAACTCACACACCCGCCTCCCCTCTATCTCACCTTGGATTTTTTTTCGCCACACACACCCCCCTCTTTCTCTCACCTTGACGTTGGCCGGGTTTCCAAACTGCTGCAGCATATAAGCGCCTTCAGTGCCACAATCTCCTCCGCCTTGGCAATCGCGCCCTTCATGCCCTTGCAGGAATCAGTCAGAACCTTGGGATTACCTTACCACATACAACCTCCGCTCGTTCTCACCTTGGGATTGGCCGGGTTTTCAAACTGCTGCAGCATGTAAGCGCCTTCAGTGCTCGCCACAATCTCCTCCGCCTTGGCAATCGCGCCCTTCATGCCCTTGGCGGGGTCTGTCAGAACCAGATCCGCCCCGAACGCGCGCAGCAGCACGCGGCGCTCGAGGCTCATGGAGGCGGGCATGGTGAGGGTGAGCTTGTAGCCCCTCGCTGCCGCCACAAAGGCGAGTCCGATGCCCGTGTTGCCACTCGTCGGCTCCACCAGCACGCTCTGTTGTGTGGGGGGTCGGGGGGGTGGGGGACGGAGAGCAGGGAAAGCGGATGTATGTATGCGCGCAACAGCAGCATCAGGTTCGACCTGAACCAGGTGCGCCCCGAACCAGCTGTGCCTTGAGCGCACGCAGCAGCAGCAGCATGTGGCGCTCGAGGCTCATGGAGGCGGGCATGGTGAGGGTGAGCTTGTACCCCCTCGCTGCCGCCACGAAAGCGAGTCCGATGCCCGTGTTGCCGCTGGTGGGCTCCACCAACACGCTCTGATGGAGAGAAGGAGAGGGGGGGAGGAGAGAGGAGGGAGGGTGCAAGGAAGGGGGAGGTTGACACGCAGCAGCAGCAGCAGGTACGACCTGAGCCAGGTGCGCCCTGAACCAGCTGTGCCTTGAGCGCATAAAGCAGCAGCACGCGGCGCTCGAGGCTCATGGAGGCGGGCATGGTGAGGGTGAGCTGGTAGCCCCTCGCTGCTGCCACAAAGGCCAGCCTGATTCCCGTGTTGCCGCTGGTGGGCTCCACCAACACGCTCTGTTGTGTGTGATGAGTGGGGCGACGGGGAATGGAACAGGGAACAGGGGAAAGAAGGATCGGACGCAGCAGCACACGTGAACCGCAGATCAGAGGAGCATCAGGTCAGGCCCGAATCAGCTATGCCCTGAACGCCGCAGCAGCAGCACGCGGCGCTCGAGGCCCATGGAGGCGGGCATGGTGAGGGTGAGCTTGTAGCCCCTCGCTGCCGCCACAAAGGCTAGACCTATGCCCGTGTTGCCGCTGGTGGGCTCCACCAACACGCTCTGATGGGGAGAGGGAAGGGAAGAAGGAACGGAACAGGGAACAGGGAACAGGGAACAGGCAACAGGCAAGGAAGTTCGGAAGCAGCAGGCATCAGGTACGATTTGAACCAGGTGCGACATGAACCAGCTATGGCCTCAATCCGCAGAGCAGCACGAGGCTCATGGAGAGAGTGAGCTGGTAGCCCCTCGCTGCCGCCACAAAGGCTGGTGCGAATTGTAAGTTGTAACGACTTGCCCTTTTACAGACGCATGTTCAAACTCCATACCGTACATTGTCTGGAGTGATGAGACCCTTCTCTTCCGTGCCTTTGATCATGCTCACGGCGATACTAAACGGATTACAGCATAAAGGATATGAGCACGACAAGGGAACGACAACCTTCCACCCTAATCCGTACCTTGCCTGGAGTGATGAGTCCCTTCTCTTCCGCGTCTGTGATCATGCTCACGGCGATACTGTCCAGGGTGGGATACGCACATGTACGCAAACATGGAAATTAGAAAAACACACACACACACACACACACACACACACACACACACACACACACACACACACGCACGCACGCACGCACGCACGCACGCACGCACGCACGCACGCACGCACGCACGCACGCACGCACGCACGCACGCACGCACGCACGCACGCACGCACACACACACACACACACACACACACACACACACACACACACACACACACACACACACACACACACACACACACACTCACGTATGAACAAACGAGGAGCAAGCAGACTTTCTCACAAGCAAAAATAAGGCAACTTATAGATGCTGAAAGTAGCAGAAGACAAACACACACACGTCATACATGGAGAGCTCGAAATTTCTTCCCAATGTACGGGATTAAACAGCATAACAGGAATCCAAGAACACACGACATGCATATATCGAACGTACAGTCATTGACGCTGTTCGCCAGATCACGGTACACGATGTGAATACGACACCAGCAAACACGACATTCAAAGACAGACGTACCGGTCCTTGTCGCTGCAGCAGGGTTCCACGATTTCCAGCTTGCCCGCAATGTTGGTATTAACAATGAAACACGACATACGCGATATGAGCATGACATGCATTCGGAGCATACCGATCCTTGACGCTGCAGCAGGGCTCCATAATCTCCAGCTTGGCCGCAATGTTGGCCACACATCCTTCAGTCACTTTGTTCAAATACACCATGGGGGTCTTGCCGACCAACTGCATAGCAAACGCAATTTACGGCACATTAGGAACGGCAAATTTCGAAATATATATTTCCAATTCTTGCAAAGACGATCCCGCGATCATTCAAGCGGAATTCGATAAGCGTGCTGAAAGGGTTGAATGATCGCGGGAGAGCGAAGTTTTACGCTGGCGTAAAACCGACTCGCCTGAGTCATGTCAGTCGCGATCGTGGTCGACGGAGGGCGAAGGCCCTTGGTTTCGTCGGAAGTCGCCATTCCGGTGTGGGAGGTAATTGAACGAGAACGAAATCACTCGAGGAGAACTACCAGCAGATAGCAGGCAGAGGAGAAATTGTGGTAAGGCAAGAAGCGAGATCAGAAATCAAATGGAGATTGGGATGAAGGCAGTGAGGCTGGCACAAATGTGATCTCTGTAAACTCGCACAAACGTGGCTGGTTATGAGAGTTCACAATTGTGCGTTTCAGAAAGGTCGATTGAGATGATACAGTGGCTGGATGGGGTTCGAGTGGTCGATTTCGGCAACACCAGGGCATCAGCTTGGTTTGGGTTAATCTCAGCTCGCAGCAGCCAACAAAAGTCCAGCAAACCAAGTTCAACAAACCTGCCACTTTCCGCTCTGCAGTCTTCTCTGACTGGTGGTCAGGTCTGGCTCGGTGAACCATGGTGGGGCATTTTGACTTCCCGAGCCCCGGCCCAAACCGCCGCGCCGAGGCTGATAGGTTCGATGAACCAGGGCAGCATGTGAAGGTCGCCCACTGGCCAATCAGGTGCCGTGCCGGTTGGTCTAGGTGCGGGACCTCGAAGGGACACTTTGATGACGCAGATCCCGCAGGCAGCAATAGCAGCAACAAAAGCTCCACCACACCCAGCCCCCACACGCCGTTATAACGAACATGAAGGTAACCTATAATTCAATAAATTTGTATCTGAATTTCTATTCATATCAAGGCAGCAGTAAGTATTATTAAATGGATGCCACATTTCTGCCATAAATTCATACCAAAATGATTGAACCTTTTATCCGGCTATTCTAAATCAAAGAAGCAATATGGTTTGCTTAAGAAGGAAACAGTATTTACCCTGATGCAGATATTTCCCAGAAGCGAAATTCACTGTTGCCACATCAAGGTTTTAGGTGTGCAAAGAAATTAGATTAGATTAGAACCCTTCAGAAAGCTAGGGAAGATTCGACAGGGGTCCAGTCTTAGTAATTCGGTGCCGACCGCGTCGGTTCAGCGTCGCAGTAGTAAGCTCAGGCTTGATCTTTGACAAGGTTCACATCGAGAATTGTTTTACCTGGAGCGGCTGGGAGGGAGCCATGCCGCTGTTCCAGCCGTTCAGGGCGATAGGGTACATCACAGATGACACGCCGTTCTCCGTGCGACGGGTGGGAACCGAGACGTACGTGACCGTTAGCGTCGGTCGCGCCTGGCAAATCTACAACGTACGTACAATGATGCAATACTTGATCACGATAGGGCTCGTGTTAGGAGGGGTAGGTGAGGAGTCATATTACGAAGGAAGCCGTTCAGTACGACAGCTATAGCTTCTCTGTCCAATGCTCTACTTTGTAGACAGTGCTCTCTTTCTCAGGGCGGTTACGTGCACGACTTTTGAGACGTCTAAAAAATGCGAGACTCCTTTCGATGCTTCCGGTCTCTGAAATCTTGCGTTTTGCCTTCTCCCATCCTCCATTTCGTGCGAAACTGGACCTGTGCTGGCGCGGGTTACCCATTTCGTCGCCGCTTTCGTGACGCCGTTGGGAATGGAATCAGTGCGCGAAGCTTCGCCTCGTCTTCGTCGGTGAGTCTACCAATCCATCCTCAACCCTCTCCGCATCCTGCAGGACTTTCTCGAGTTCATGCCTACTAGTTTCATAGTAAAAAACGTAATTTCATGCAATTTCTTAGGGATTCCGGTTCCACCTTCTCCCCCATTCTCTGACAAATGGACAAGGCTAGCTTGCCCCCCTCTTTCCCAGCTGTACCTCAACCCGTCTCTTAGTAAGAGACATATATCCCCTCTTTATTGTTTAAGTACACCTCATTCTGCTTCATCTTAAACTGTGCTTCAAGTAACTCAAAACCTTAAACCCGCGCCCCTAAACCCTAGCAGGAACGGATGCCCCCGAGTCCATCCGTGCGCTGACTCTCATCGCCGTCGCACCTTCGCCGTTTTGATTGAAGCGCCTCAGAACCCCTAAACCCTGAAACGTTCAACTCTATTTCTCCACCCTCTCAGGATCGGAACTTCCCAAGTCTATCCGTGCGCTGGCCTCTCATCGCGACCGCACCTTTGCTGCGTTTGGCACCGACATTGCAGTCTTTTACCGCTCACACCAGGTGGGTAGCAGGTGTGGGTGCAGGTTGTGGGTGTTGATGGGTGTGGGCGTGGGTCCCCAAGTCTATCCGTGCCTTGACCTCTCATCGCGACCGCACCTTTGCTGCGTTCGGCACCGACATTGCAGTCTTCTACCGCTCACACCAGGTGGGTGTGGTTGGGTTGGGTGTGGTTGGGATGTGTGTGGTTGGCTTGGATGTGGTTGGGTGTGGGTGGGATGTGGGTGGGATGTGGGTGGGTGTGGGTCACAAGGCGGAGGTCAAGCCGCTGCTGGTGTTTGGGGATACTTGATTTCACTGGACGAGGGTAGGCATGTGCTCATGTGGCTAGTCATAGGGGGAGCATAGAGATGCTCACACGCCTTGAACGCACTTTATTGCCCCTCCCTTACTGGCAGGTGGGAACCCTCAAGGGTCACAAGGCGAAGATCAGGGTTTCGGGTTTGGCGAATACCTCCTCTCAGTGGATAGGCATGTGAAGAATCCCCTCTTTACCCTCGATCTTATTGTTGCTCCCCCCAGCAGGTGGGAACACGGAAGGGTCACAAGGCGAAGGTCAAGCTGCTGCTGGTGTTTGGCGAATACCTCCTCTCAGTGGACGAGGCTAGGCATGTGCTCCCGTGGCCGGTCAGAGGGGCGCAAAGGGATGCTCACACGCCTTGAACGCACTCCCCTGTCCCTCCCTTACTAACAGGTGGGAACGCTGAAGGGTCACAAGGCGAAGATCAAGCTTCTTCTGGTGTTTGGCGAATACCTCCTCTCAGTGGACGAGGCTAGGCATGTGCTCCTGTGGCCGGTCAGAGGGGCACAAAGAGATGCTCCCAAGGGAGAGGGAGAGGAAGGGAAGGGGAAGGAGGGGAGGGAGGAGAGGGAGGGGAACGACGACGACGAGGAGGAGGAGGAGGGTAGAGAGGGAAAAGACGGACCGGGGGATGGAGGGGGGAACGAAGAGGGGAAGAAACCTGCAGGGGCTGACCAGGGGGGGTTTGTTCTGGAGCCTCTCGGGCAGTTTCAGCTGCCCGAGGGGTTCAATCCAACCGGGGTAATTCACCCTGACACGTACCTCAACAAGGTCCTATTCGCATCAGAAGACGGGCGCATGCAGCTGTGGAACGTAAATTCCAGGAAGCTTCTGTACGAGTTCAAGGGGTGGGGCGTGGGAGTGACGGCACTGGTGGGTTCGCCTGCGTTGGACACGGTGGCAGTGGGGTGCAGCGATGGCAAGGTGCATGTGCATAACATCCGGCTGGATAAGCCAGTGGTGGATTTCACACACGCTGCTGCTGGTGCTGTCACCTCCCTGGCCTTCAACTCAGGTACAATTCGGTTGAGTGCAGTGTAGTGCAGTGCGGTGGCAGTGGGGTGCAGCGATGGCAAGGTGCATGTGCATAACATAAAGCTGGATAAACCCGTCGTGGAATTTACACATGCCGCTGCTGGTGCTGTCACTTCCCTCGCCTTCAACTCAGGTCAGTTGGTCCTCCAATGCGGTCTTGTGCGGTCCAGTGCGTTACTGTGGTGCAGTACGGTGCAGTGCAGAGTAGTGGGGATAACGGCACTGGTGGGATCGCCTGCGTTGGATACGGTGGCAGTGGGGTGCAGCGATGGCAAGGTGCATGTGCATAACATAAGGCTGGATAAACCCGTCGTGGATTTCACACACGCTGCTGCCGGTGCCGTCACTTCCCTCGCCTTCAACTCAGGTCAGTCCAATTTCATGGTGCAGTGCGGTTCAGTGCAGTGCATTAGTGGGGTGCAGCGATGGCAAGGTGCATGTGCATAACATAAGGCTGGATAAACCCGTCGTGGATTTCACCCACGCTGCTGCCGGTGCTGTCACTTCCCTGGCCTTCAACTCAGGTCAGTCCTTTATCATGGTGCAGTGCGGTTCAGTGGTGTATTTTGGGGTGCAGCGATGGCAAGGTGCATGTGCATAACATAAGGCTGGATGATTCAGTGGTGGATTTCACCCACGCTGCTGCCGGTGCTGTCACTTCCCTGGCCTTCAACTCAGGTCAGTCCTTTATCATGGTGCAGTGCGGTTCAGTGGTGTATTTTTGGGGTGCAGCGATGGCAAGGTGCATGTGCATAACATAAGGCTGGATGATTCAGTGGTGGATTTCACCCACGCTGCTGCCGGTGCTGTCACTTCCCTGGCCTTCAACTCAGGTCAGTCCTTTATCATGGTGCAGTGCGGTTCAGTGGTGTATTTTTGGGGTGCAGCGATGGCAAGGTGCATGTGCATAACATAAGGCTGGATGATTCAGTGGTGGATTTCACCCACGCTGCTGCCGGTGCTGTCACTTCCCTGGCCTTCAACTCAGGTCAGTCCTTTATCATGGTGCAGTGCGGTTCAGTGGTGTATTTTTGGGGTGCAGCGATGGCAAGGTGCATGTGCATAACATAAGGCTGGATGATTCAGTGGTGGATTTCACCCACGCTGCTGCCGGTGCTGTCACTTCCCTGGCCTTCAACTCAGGTCAGCCTTCTGCTGCTGTATGGTCGGTTGAGTGCGGCACTGAGGTGCAGTGCAATGCAGTGCAGTGCGGTGCGGTTCTGAGCAGTGGGGTGCAGCGATGGCAAGGTGCATTCTGCACTCCCGTGCTTGCATACTTGCCCTCCTTTCAGTGTGTGGTGTTGTTCTGCTCCCCCTTATACCCTTGAAACGGCCATCCGCTACTGGCGGTGGGAGAGGCATGAGGGGCCATCAGCGGGTGGGACTTAACCAATCGCCATCTGCACTCCCAACCCATGGGACCTCATTCAATCCTACCCTTATTCCTTCCTCTTGCTTGCCTTGTCTCACAGATCGCCAGCCGCTGCTGGCGGTGGGAGGAATGGGAGGGGCTATCAGCGTGTGGGACCTCACCAACCGCCGTCTGCACTCCATTATCCCCGACGCGCATGATGGCCGTGTGGCTGCCCTCTCCTTCCTCGTCAATGAGCCTTTGCTCTTGTCTGCCGGCGCTGATAACAGCCTCAAGGTAGTGCCCTGGTGTCATGGTGTCGTATGGTATGTCTGTCTTCGCCTGCATTCCATAATACCCGACGCGCATGATGGCCGTGTGGCGGCCCTCTCCTTCCTTGTCAACGGGCCTCTTCTGCTCTCAGCTGGGGCAGACAGCAGCCTCAAGGCACCGACGCATGGTATAGTATGTCTGTCTTCGCCTCGATTCCTTCGTTCGTTCCCTGTCAACCAGCCCCTCCTGTCTGGAAAGTGAATTTTTTGAGACACCTGAAAAAGTCCACTTTCTACACGTGACTTTCCTTCCCTGTCAACCAGCCCCTCCTGTCTGCCGATTTACAGCCTTGAGGTAATCCGAGGCGCGTTGCCTTGGGGGTTCACAGGCAGGCGACTGGCCGAGTATTAAGTTTTGGGACGTCCCCTGCGCCAATGATGGCCGTGTGGCTGCCCTTTCCTTCCTTGTCAACGAGCCCCTCCTGTCTGCCGGCACCTATAACAGCCTTGAGGTAATCCGAGGCACGTTGCCTTGGGGGTTCACTTCACAGGCAGGAGGTTGGCCGAGTTTTGAGCTTTGGGACGTCCCCTGCGCCAATGACGGCCGTGTGGCAGCCCTTTCCTTACTTCTCAATGGGCACCTCCTGTCTGCCGGCGCCTATAACAGCCTTGAGGTAATCCGATCCAAGGTGCGTTGCCTTGGGGGTTCACTTCACAGGCAGGAGGCTTTTGAGACGTCTCAAAAACACCCTCGCTACACGTGACTTCACGGGCAGGAGGCTGGCTGGCCTCAAACCATCAAGGTCTGTCTCACATGTCATTTTTGAGTTGACTCAAAAGCCACCTCGTTACAATGGCTCACGACACGTAATTCGAGGCATGTTGCCTTGGGGGTTCACAGGGAGGAGGCTGGCCACAAACCATCAAGGTCTGTCTCTCATGTGAGCTCCCTCTTACCCTCTCCCCCTCTTCTCTGCTCTTGCCGTTTCCCGTTTTGTGTATGCACTCCCTTCCCACCCCACACTCCTCTTTGCCCACCCGTTCCGTGCTCGTAAATCAGATCTGGATATTTGATTCGGTGGACGACAACCCTCGTCTCTTGCGCTACCGCACAGGACACAGCAAGCCGCCCTGCTGCATCAAGTGAGTATAGAGCAAGCCGCCCTGCTGCATCAAGTGAGTATAGAGCAAGCCGCCCTGCTGCATCAAGTGAGTATAGAGCAAGCCGCCCTGCTGCATCAAGTGAGTATAGAGCAAGCCGCCCTGCTGCATCAAGTGAGTATAGAGCAAGCCGCCCTGCTGCATCAAGTGAGTATAGAGCAAGCCGCCCTGCTGCATCAAGTGAGTATAGAGCAAGCCGCCCTGCTGCATCAAGTGAGTATAGAGCAAGCCGCCCTGCTGCATCAAGTGAGTATAGAGCAAGCCGCCCTGCTGCATCAAGTGAGTATAGAGCAAGCCGCCCTGCTGCATCAAGTGAGTATAGAGCAAGCCGCCCTGCTGCATCAAGTGAGTATAGAGCAAGCCGCCCTGCTGCATCAAGTGAGTATAGAGCAAGCCGCCCTGCTGCATCAAGTGAGTATAGAGCAAGCCGCCCTGCTGCATCAAGTGAGTATAGAGCAAGCCGCCCTGCTGCATCAAGTGAGTATAGAGCAAGCCGCCCTGCTGCATCAAGTGAGTATAGAGCAAGCCGCCCTGCTGCATCAAGTGAGTATAGAGCAAGCCGCCCTGCTGCATCAAGTGAGTATAGAGCAAGCCGCCCTGCTGCATCAAGTGAGTATAGAGCAAGCCGCCCTGCTGCATCAAGTGAGTATAGAGCAAGCCGCCCTGCTGCATCAAGTGAGTATAGAGCAAGCCGCCCTGCTGCATCAAGTGAGTATAGAGCAAGCCGCCCTGCTGCATCAAGTGAGTATAGAGCAAGCCGCCCTGCTGCATCAAGTGAGTATAGAGCAAGCCGCCCTGCTGCATCAAGTGAGTATAGAGCAAGCCGCCCTGCTGCATCAAGTGAGTATAGAGCAAGCCGCCCTGCTGCATCAAGTGAGTATAGAGCAAGCCGCCCTGCTGCATCAAGTGAGTATAGAGCAAGCCGCCCTGCTGCATCAAGTGAGTATAGAGCAAGCCGCCCTGCTGCATCAAGTGAGTATAGAGCAAGCCGCCCTGCTGCATCAAGTGAGTATAGAGCAAGCCGCCCTGCTGCATCAAGTGAGTATAGAGCAAGCCGCCCTGCTGCATCAAGTGAGTATAGAGCAAGCCGCCCTGCTGCATCAAGTGAGTATAGAGCAAGCCGCCCTGCTGCATCAAGTGAGTATAGAGCAAGCCGCCCTGCTGCATCAAGTGAGTATAGAGCAAGCCGCCCTGCTGCATCAAGTGAGTATAGAGCAAGCCGCCCTGCTGCATCAAGTGAGTATAGAGCAAGCCGCCCTGCTGCATCAAGTGAGTATAGAGCAAGCCGCCCTGCTGCATCAAGTGAGTATAGAGCAAGCCGCCCTGCTGCATCAAGTGAGTATAGAGCAAGCCGCCCTGCTGCATCAAGTGAGTATAGAGCAAGCCGCCCTGCTGCATCAAGTGAGTATAGAGCAAGCCGCCCTGCTGCATCAAGTGAGTATAGAGCAAGCCGCCCTGCTGCATCAAGTGAGTATAGAGCAAGCCGCCCTGCTGCATCAAGTGAGTATAGAGCAAGCCGCCCTGCTGCATCAAGTGAGTATAGAGCAAGCCGCCCTGCTGCATCAAGTGAGTATAGAGCAAGCCGCCCTGCTGCATCAAGTGAGTATAGAGCAAGCCGCCCTGCTGCATCAAGTGAGTATAGAGCAAGCCGCCCTGCTGCATCAAGTGAGTATAGAGCAAGCCGCCCTGCTGCATCAAGTGAGTATAGAGCAAGCCGCCCTGCTGCATCAAGTGAGTATAGAGCAAGCCGCCCTGCTGCATCAAGTGAGTATAGAGCAAGCCGCCCTGCTGCATCAAGTGAGTATAGAGCAAGCCGCCCTGCTGCATCAAGTGAGTATAGAGCAAGCCGCCCTGCTGCATCAAGTGAGTATAGAGCAAGCCGCCCTGCTGCATCAAGTGAGTATAGAGCAAGCCGCCCTGCTGCATCAAGTGAGTATAGAGCAAGCCGCCCTGCTGCATCAAGTGAGTATAGAGCAAGCCGCCCTGCTGCATCAAGTGAGTATAGAGCAAGCCGCCCTGCTGCATCAAGTGAGTATAGAGCAAGCCGCCCTGCTGCATCAAGTGAGTATAGAGCAAGCCGCCCTGCTGCATCAAGTGAGTATAGAGCAAGCCGCCCTGCTGCATCAAGTGAGTATAGAGCAAGCCGCCCTGCTGCATCAAGTGAGTATAGAGCAAGCCGCCCTGCTGCATCAAGTGAGTATAGAGCAAGCCGCCCTGCTGCATCAAGTGAGTATAGAGCAAGCCGCCCTGCTGCATCAAGTGAGTATAGAGCAAGCCGCCCTGCTGCATCAAGTGAGTATAGAGCAAGCCGCCCTGCTGCATCAAGTGAGTATAGAGCAAGCCGCCCTGCTGCATCAAGTGAGTATAGAGCAAGCCGCCCTGCTGCATCAAGTGAGTATAGAGCAAGCCGCCCTGCTGCATCAAGTGAGTATAGAGCAAGCCGCCCTGCTGCATCAAGTGAGTATAGAGCAAGCCGCCCTGCTGCATCAAGTGAGTATAGAGCAAGCCGCCCTGCTGCATCAAGTGAGTATAGAGCAAGCCGCCCTGCTGCATCAAGTGAGTATAGAGCAAGCCGCCCTGCTGCATCAAGTGAGTATAGAGCAAGCCGCCCTGCTGCATCAAGTGAGTATAGAGCAAGCCGCCCTGCTGCATCAAGTGAGTATAGAGCAAGCCGCCCTGCTGCATCAAGTGAGTATAGAGCAAGCCGCCCTGCTGCATCAAGTGAGTATAGAGCAAGCCGCCCTGCTGCATCAAGTGAGTATAGAGCAAGCCGCCCTGCTGCATCAAGTGAGTATAGAGCAAGCCGCCCTGCTGCATCAAGTGAGTATAGAGCAAGCCGCCCTGCTGCATCAAGTGAGTATAGAGCAAGCCGCCCTGCTGCATCAAGTGAGTATAGAGCAAGCCGCCCTGCTGCATCAAGTGAGTATAGAGCAAGCCGCCCTGCTGCATCAAGTGAGTATAGAGCAAGCCGCCCTGCTGCATCAAGTGAGTATAGAGCAAGCCGCCCTGCTGCATCAAGTGAGTATAGAGCAAGCCGCCCTGCTGCATCAAGTGAGTATAGAGCAAGCCGCCCTGCTGCATCAAGTGAGTATAGAGCAAGCCGCCCTGCTGCATCAAGTGAGTATAGAGCAAGCCGCCCTGCTGCATCAAGTGAGTATAGAGCAAGCCGCCCTGCTGCATCAAGTGAGTATAGAGCAAGCCGCCCTGCTGCATCAAGTGAGTATAGAGCAAGCCGCCCTGCTGCATCAAGTGAGTATAGAGCAAGCCGCCCTGCTGCATCAAGTGAGTATAGAGCAAGCCGCCCTGCTGCATCAAGTGAGTATAGAGCAAGCCGCCCTGCTGCATCAAGTGAGTATAGAGCAAGCCGCCCTGCTGCATCAAGTGAGTATAGAGCAAGCCGCCCTGCTGCATCAAGTGAGTATAGAGCAAGCCGCCCTGCTGCATCAAGTGAGTATAGAGCAAGCCGCCCTGCTGCATCAAGTGAGTATAGAGCAAGCCGCCCTGCTGCATCAAGTGAGTATAGAGCAAGCCGCCCTGCTGCATCAAGTGAGTATAGAGCAAGCCGCCCTGCTGCATCAAGTGAGTATAGAGCAAGCCGCCCTGCTGCATCAAGTGAGTATAGAGCAAGCCGCCCTGCTGCATCAAGTGAGTATAGAGCAAGCCGCCCTGCTGCATCAAGTGAGTATAGAGCAAGCCGCCCTGCTGCATCAAGTGAGTATAGAGCAAGCCGCCCTGCTGCATCAAGTGAGTATAGAGCAAGCCGCCCTGCTGCATCAAGTGAGTATAGAGCAAGCCGCCCTGCTGCATCAAGTGAGTATAGAGCAAGCCGCCCTGCTGCATCAAGTGAGTATAGAGCAAGCCGCCCTGCTGCATCAAGTGAGTATAGAGCAAGCCGCCCTGCTGCATCAAGTGAGTATAGAGCAAGCCGCCCTGCTGCATCAAGTGAGTATAGAGCAAGCCGCCCTGCTGCATCAAGTGAGTATAGAGCAAGCCGCCCTGCTGCATCAAGTGAGTATAGAGCAAGCCGCCCTGCTGCATCAAGTGAGTATAGAGCAAGCCGCCCTGCTGCATCAAGTGAGTATAGAGCAAGCCGCCCTGCTGCATCAAGTGAGTATAGAGCAAGCCGCCCTGCTGCATCAAGTGAGTATAGAGCAAGCCGCCCTGCTGCATCAAGTGAGTATAGAGCAAGCCGCCCTGCTGCATCAAGTGAGTATAGAGCAAGCCGCCCTGCTGCATCAAGTGAGTATAGAGCAAGCCGCCCTGCTGCATCAAGTGAGTATAGAGCAAGCCGCCCTGCTGCATCAAGTGAGTATAGAGCAAGCCGCCCTGCTGCATCAAGTGAGTATAGAGCAAGCCGCCCTGCTGCATCAAGTGAGTATAGAGCAAGCCGCCCTGCTGCATCAAGTGAGTATAGAGCAAGCCGCCCTGCTGCATCAAGTGAGTATAGAGCAAGCCGCCCTGCTGCATCAAGTGAGTATAGAGCAAGCCGCCCTGCTGCATCAAGTGAGTATAGAGCAAGCCGCCCTGCTGCATCAAGTGAGTATAGAGCAAGCCGCCCTGCTGCATCAAGTGAGTATAGAGCAAGCCGCCCTGCTGCATCAAGTGAGTATAGAGCAAGCCGCCCTGCTGCATCAAGTGAGTATAGAGCAAGCCGCCCTGCTGCATCAAGTGAGTATAGAGCAAGCCGCCCTGCTGCATCAAGTGAGTATAGAGCAAGCCGCCCTGCTGCATCAAGTGAGTATAGAGCAAGCCGCCCTGCTGCATCAAGTGAGTATAGAGCAAGCCGCCCTGCTGCATCAAGTGAGTATAGAGCAAGCCGCCCTGCTGCATCAAGTGAGTATAGAGCAAGCCGCCCTGCTGCATCAAGTGAGTATAGAGCAAGCCGCCCTGCTGCATCAAGTGAGTATAGAGCAAGCCGCCCTGCTGCATCAAGTGAGTATAGAGCAAGCCGCCCTGCTGCATCAAGTGAGTATAGAGCAAGCCGCCCTGCTGCATCAAGTGAGTATAGAGCAAGCCGCCCTGCTGCATCAAGTGAGTATAGAGCAAGCCGCCCTGCTGCATCAAGTGAGTATAGAGCAAGCCGCCCTGCTGCATCAAGTGAGTATAGAGCAAGCCGCCCTGCTGCATCAAGTGAGTATAGAGCAAGCCGCCCTGCTGCATCAAGTGAGTATAGAGCAAGCCGCCCTGCTGCATCAAGTGAGTATAGAGCAAGCCGCCCTGCTGCATCAAGTGAGTATAGAGCAAGCCGCCCTGCTGCATCAAGTGAGTATAGAGCAAGCCGCCCTGCTGCATCAAGTGAGTATAGAGCAAGCCGCCCTGCTGCATCAAGTGAGTATAGAGCAAGCCGCCCTGCTGCATCAAGTGAGTATAGAGCAAGCCGCCCTGCTGCATCAAGTGAGTATAGAGCAAGCCGCCCTGCTGCATCAAGTGAGTATAGAGCAAGCCGCCCTGCTGCATCAAGTGAGTATAGAGCAAGCCGCCCTGCTGCATCAAGTGAGTATAGAGCAAGCCGCCCTGCTGCATCAAGTGAGTATAGAGCAAGCCGCCCTGCTGCATCAAGTGAGTATAGAGCAAGCCGCCCTGCTGCATCAAGTGAGTATAGAGCAAGCCGCCCTGCTGCATCAAGTGAGTATAGAGCAAGCCGCCCTGCTGCATCAAGTGAGTATAGAGCAAGCCGCCCTGCTGCATCAAGTGAGTATAGAGCAAGCCGCCCTGCTGCATCAAGTGAGTATAGAGCAAGCCGCCCTGCTGCATCAAGTGAGTATAGAGCAAGCCGCCCTGCTGCATCAAGTGAGTATAGAGCAAGCCGCCCTGCTGCATCAAGTGAGTATAGAGCAAGCCGCCCTGCTGCATCAAGTGAGTATAGAGCAAGCCGCCCTGCTGCATCAAGTGAGTATAGAGCAAGCCGCCCTGCTGCATCAAGTGAGTATAGAGCAAGCCGCCCTGCTGCATCAAGTGAGTATAGAGCAAGCCGCCCTGCTGCATCAAGTGAGTATAGAGCAAGCCGCCCTGCTGCATCAAGTGAGTATAGAGCAAGCCGCCCTGCTGCATCAAGTGAGTATAGAGCAAGCCGCCCTGCTGCATCAAGTGAGTATAGAGCAAGCCGCCCTGCTGCATCAAGTGAGTATAGAGCAAGCCGCCCTGCTGCATCAAGTGAGTATAGAGCAAGCCGCCCTGCTGCATCAAGTGAGTATAGAGCAAGCCGCCCTGCTGCATCAAGTGAGTATAGAGCAAGCCGCCCTGCTGCATCAAGTGAGTATAGAGCAAGCCGCCCTGCTGCATCAAGTGAGTATAGAGCAAGCCGCCCTGCTGCATCAAGTGAGTATAGAGCAAGCCGCCCTGCTGCATCAAGTGAGTATAGAGCAAGCCGCCCTGCTGCATCAAGTGAGTATAGAGCAAGCCGCCCTGCTGCATCAAGTGAGTATAGAGCAAGCCGCCCTGCTGCATCAAGTGAGTATAGAGCAAGCCGCCCTGCTGCATCAAGTGAGTATAGAGCAAGCCGCCCTGCTGCATCAAGTGAGTATAGAGCAAGCCGCCCTGCTGCATCAAGTGAGTATAGAGCAAGCCGCCCTGCTGCATCAAGTGAGTATAGAGCAAGCCGCCCTGCTGCATCAAGTGAGTATAGAGCAAGCCGCCCTGCTGCATCAAGTGAGTATAGAGCAAGCCGCCCTGCTGCATCAAGTGAGTATAGAGCAAGCCGCCCTGCTGCATCAAGTGAGTATAGAGCAAGCCGCCCTGCTGCATCAAGTGAGTATAGAGCAAGCCGCCCTGCTGCATCAAGTGAGTATAGAGCAAGCCGCCCTGCTGCATCAAGTGAGTATAGAGCAAGCCGCCCTGCTGCATCAAGTGAGTATAGAGCAAGCCGCCCTGCTGCATCAAGTGAGTATAGAGCAAGCCGCCCTGCTGCATCAAGTGAGTATAGAGCAAGCCGCCCTGCTGCATCAAGTGAGTATAGAGCAAGCCGCCCTGCTGCATCAAGTGAGTATAGAGCAAGCCGCCCTGCTGCATCAAGTGAGTATAGAGCAAGCCGCCCTGCTGCATCAAGTGAGTATAGAGCAAGCCGCCCTGCTGCATCAAGTGAGTATAGAGCAAGCCGCCCTGCTGCATCAAGTGAGTATAGAGCAAGCCGCCCTGCTGCATCAAGTGAGTATAGAGCAAGCCGCCCTGCTGCATCAAGTGAGTATAGAGCAAGCCGCCCTGCTGCATCAAGTGAGTATAGAGCAAGCCGCCCTGCTGCATCAAGTGAGTATAGAGCAAGCCGCCCTGCTGCATCAAGTGAGTATAGAGCAAGCCGCCCTGCTGCATCAAGTGAGTATAGAGCAAGCCGCCCTGCTGCATCAAGTGAGTATAGAGCAAGCCGCCCTGCTGCATCAAGTGAGTATAGAGCAAGCCGCCCTGCTGCATCAAGTGAGTATAGAGCAAGCCGCCCTGCTGCATCAAGTGAGTATAGAGCAAGCCGCCCTGCTGCATCAAGTGAGTATAGAGCAAGCCGCCCTGCTGCATCAAGTGAGTATAGAGCAAGCCGCCCTGCTGCATCAAGTGAGTATAGAGCAAGCCGCCCTGCTGCATCAAGTGAGTATAGAGCAAGCCGCCCTGCTGCATCAAGTGAGTATAGAGCAAGCCGCCCTGCTGCATCAAGTGAGTATAGAGCAAGCCGCCCTGCTGCATCAAGTGAGTATAGAGCAAGCCGCCCTGCTGCATCAAGTGAGTATAGAGCAAGCCGCCCTGCTGCATCAAGTGAGTATAGAGCAAGCCGCCCTGCTGCATCAAGTGAGTATAGAGCAAGCCGCCCTGCTGCATCAAGTGAGTATAGAGCAAGCCGCCCTGCTGCATCAAGTGAGTATAGAGCAAGCCGCCCTGCTGCATCAAGTGAGTATAGAGCAAGCCGCCCTGCTGCATCAAGTGAGTATAGAGCAAGCCGCCCTGCTGCATCAAGTGAGTATAGAGCAAGCCGCCCTGCTGCATCAAGTGAGTATAGAGCAAGCCGCCCTGCTGCATCAAGTGAGTATAGAGCAAGCCGCCCTGCTGCATCAAGTGAGTATAGAGCAAGCCGCCCTGCTGCATCAAGTGAGTATAGAGCAAGCCGCCCTGCTGCATCAAGTGAGTATAGAGCAAGCCGCCCTGCTGCATCAAGTGAGTATAGAGCAAGCCGCCCTGCTGCATCAAGTGAGTATAGAGCAAGCCGCCCTGCTGCATCAAGTGAGTATAGAGCAAGCCGCCCTGCTGCATCAAGTGAGTATAGAGCAAGCCGCCCTGCTGCATCAAGTGAGTATAGAGCAAGCCGCCCTGCTGCATCAAGTGAGTATAGAGCAAGCCGCCCTGCTGCATCAAGTGAGTATAGAGCAAGCCGCCCTGCTGCATCAAGTGAGTATAGAGCAAGCCGCCCTGCTGCATCAAGTGAGTATAGAGCAAGCCGCCCTGCTGCATCAAGTGAGTATAGAGCAAGCCGCCCTGCTGCATCAAGTGAGTATAGAGCAAGCCGCCCTGCTGCATCAAGTGAGTATAGAGCAAGCCGCCCTGCTGCATCAAGTGAGTATAGAGCAAGCCGCCCTGCTGCATCAAGTGAGTATAGAGCAAGCCGCCCTGCTGCATCAAGTGAGTATAGAGCAAGCCGCCCTGCTGCATCAAGTGAGTATAGAGCAAGCCGCCCTGCTGCATCAAGTGAGTATAGAGCAAGCCGCCCTGCTGCATCAAGTGAGTATAGAGCAAGCCGCCCTGCTGCATCAAGTGAGTATAGAGCAAGCCGCCCTGCTGCATCAAGTGAGTATAGAGCAAGCCGCCCTGCTGCATCAAGTGAGTATAGAGCAAGCCGCCCTGCTGCATCAAGTGAGTATAGAGCAAGCCGCCCTGCTGCATCAAGTGAGTATAGAGCAAGCCGCCCTGCTGCATCAAGTGAGTATAGAGCAAGCCGCCCTGCTGCATCAAGTGAGTATAGAGCAAGCCGCCCTGCTGCATCAAGTGAGTATAGAGCAAGCCGCCCTGCTGCATCAAGTGAGTATAGAGCAAGCCGCCCTGCTGCATCAAGTGAGTATAGAGCAAGCCGCCCTGCTGCATCAAGTGAGTATAGAGCAAGCCGCCCTGCTGCATCAAGTGAGTATAGAGCAAGCCGCCCTGCTGCATCAAGTGAGTATAGAGCAAGCCGCCCTGCTGCATCAAGTGAGTATAGAGCAAGCCGCCCTGCTGCATCAAGTGAGTATAGAGCAAGCCGCCCTGCTGCATCAAGTGAGTATAGAGCAAGCCGCCCTGCTGCATCAAGTGAGTATAGAGCAAGCCGCCCTGCTGCATCAAGTGAGTATAGAGCAAGCCGCCCTGCTGCATCAAGTGAGTATAGAGCAAGCCGCCCTGCTGCATCAAGTGAGTATAGAGCAAGCCGCCCTGCTGCATCAAGTGAGTATAGAGCAAGCCGCCCTGCTGCATCAAGTGAGTATAGAGCAAGCCGCCCTGCTGCATCAAGTGAGTATAGAGCAAGCCGCCCTGCTGCATCAAGTGAGTATAGAGCAAGCCGCCCTGCTGCATCAAGTGAGTATAGAGCAAGCCGCCCTGCTGCATCAAGTGAGTATAGAGCAAGCCGCCCTGCTGCATCAAGTGAGTATAGAGCAAGCCGCCCTGCTGCATCAAGTGAGTATAGAGCAAGCCGCCCTGCTGCATCAAGTGAGTATAGAGCAAGCCGCCCTGCTGCATCAAGTGAGTATAGAGCAAGCCGCCCTGCTGCATCAAGTGAGTATAGAGCAAGCCGCCCTGCTGCATCAAGTGAGTATAGAGCAAGCCGCCCTGCTGCATCAAGTGAGTATAGAGCAAGCCGCCCTGCTGCATCAAGTGAGTATAGAGCAAGCCGCCCTGCTGCATCAAGTGAGTATAGAGCAAGCCGCCCTGCTGCATCAAGTGAGTATAGAGCAAGCCGCCCTGCTGCATCAAGTGAGTATAGAGCAAGCCGCCCTGCTGCATCAAGTGAGTATAGAGCAAGCCGCCCTGCTGCATCAAGTGAGTATAGAGCAAGCCGCCCTGCTGCATCAAGTGAGTATAGAGCAAGCCGCCCTGCTGCATCAAGTGAGTATAGAGCAAGCCGCCCTGCTGCATCAAGTGAGTATAGAGCAAGCCGCCCTGCTGCATCAAGTGAGTATAGAGCAAGCCGCCCTGCTGCATCAAGTGAGTATAGAGCAAGCCGCCCTGCTGCATCAAGTGAGTATAGAGCAAGCCGCCCTGCTGCATCAAGTGAGTATAGAGCAAGCCGCCCTGCTGCATCAAGTGAGTATAGAGCAAGCCGCCCTGCTGCATCAAGTGAGTATAGAGCAAGCCGCCCTGCTGCATCAAGTGAGTATAGAGCAAGCCGCCCTGCTGCATCAAGTGAGTATAGAGCAAGCCGCCCTGCTGCATCAAGTGAGTATAGAGCAAGCCGCCCTGCTGCATCAAGTGAGTATAGAGCAAGCCGCCCTGCTGCATCAAGTGAGTATAGAGCAAGCCGCCCTGCTGCATCAAGTGAGTATAGAGCAAGCCGCCCTGCTGCATCAAGTGAGTATAGAGCAAGCCGCCCTGCTGCATCAAGTGAGTATAGAGCAAGCCGCCCTGCTGCATCAAGTGAGTATAGAGCAAGCCGCCCTGCTGCATCAAGTGAGTATAGAGCAAGCCGCCCTGCTGCATCAAGTGAGTATAGAGCAAGCCGCCCTGCTGCATCAAGTGAGTATAGAGCAAGCCGCCCTGCTGCATCAAGTGAGTATAGAGCAAGCCGCCCTGCTGCATCAAGTGAGTATAGAGCAAGCCGCCCTGCTGCATCAAGTGAGTATAGAGCAAGCCGCCCTGCTGCATCAAGTGAGTATAGAGCAAGCCGCCCTGCTGCATCAAGTGAGTATAGAGCAAGCCGCCCTGCTGCATCAAGTGAGTATAGAGCAAGCCGCCCTGCTGCATCAAGTGAGTATAGAGCAAGCCGCCCTGCTGCATCAAGTGAGTATAGAGCAAGCCGCCCTGCTGCATCAAGTGAGTATAGAGCAAGCCGCCCTGCTGCATCAAGTGAGTATAGAGCAAGCCGCCCTGCTGCATCAAGTGAGTATAGAGCAAGCCGCCCTGCTGCATCAAGTGAGTATAGAGCAAGCCGCCCTGCTGCATCAAGTGAGTATAGAGCAAGCCGCCCTGCTGCATCAAGTGAGTATAGAGCAAGCCGCCCTGCTGCATCAAGTGAGTATAGAGCAAGCCGCCCTGCTGCATCAAGTGAGTATAGAGCAAGCCGCCCTGCTGCATCAAGTGAGTATAGAGCAAGCCGCCCTGCTGCATCAAGTGAGTATAGAGCAAGCCGCCCTGCTGCATCAAGTGAGTATAGAGCAAGCCGCCCTGCTGCATCAAGTGAGTATAGAGCAAGCCGCCCTGCTGCATCAAGTGAGTATAGAGCAAGCCGCCCTGCTGCATCAAGTGAGTATAGAGCAAGCCGCCCTGCTGCATCAAGTGAGTATAGAGCAAGCCGCCCTGCTGCATCAAGTGAGTATAGAGCAAGCCGCCCTGCTGCATCAAGTGAGTATAGAGCAAGCCGCCCTGCTGCATCAAGTGAGTATAGAGCAAGCCGCCCTGCTGCATCAAGTGAGTATAGAGCAAGCCGCCCTGCTGCATCAAGTGAGTATAGAGCAAGCCGCCCTGCTGCATCAAGTGAGTATAGAGCAAGCCGCCCTGCTGCATCAAGTGAGTATAGAGCAAGCCGCCCTGCTGCATCAAGTGAGTATAGAGCAAGCCGCCCTGCTGCATCAAGTGAGTATAGAGCAAGCCGCCCTGCTGCATCAAGTGAGTATAGAGCAAGCCGCCCTGCTGCATCAAGTGAGTATAGAGCAAGCCGCCCTGCTGCATCAAGTGAGTATAGAGCAAGCCGCCCTGCTGCATCAAGTGAGTATAGAGCAAGCCGCCCTGCTGCATCAAGTGAGTATAGAGCAAGCCGCCCTGCTGCATCAAGTGAGTATAGAGCAAGCCGCCCTGCTGCATCAAGTGAGTATAGAGCAAGCCGCCCTGCTGCATCAAGTGAGTATAGAGCAAGCCGCCCTGCTGCATCAAGTGAGTATAGAGCAAGCCGCCCTGCTGCATCAAGTGAGTATAGAGCAAGCCGCCCTGCTGCATCAAGTGAGTATAGAGCAAGCCGCCCTGCTGCATCAAGTGAGTATAGAGCAAGCCGCCCTGCTGCATCAAGTGAGTATAGAGCAAGCCGCCCTGCTGCATCAAGTGAGTATAGAGCAAGCCGCCCTGCTGCATCAAGTGAGTATAGAGCAAGCCGCCCTGCTGCATCAAGTGAGTATAGAGCAAGCCGCCCTGCTGCATCAAGTGAGTATAGAGCAAGCCGCCCTGCTGCATCAAGTGAGTATAGAGCAAGCCGCCCTGCTGCATCAAGTGAGTATAGAGCAAGCCGCCCTGCTGCATCAAGTGAGTATAGAGCAAGCCGCCCTGCTGCATCAAGTGAGTATAGAGCAAGCCGCCCTGCTGCATCAAGTGAGTATAGAGCAAGCCGCCCTGCTGCATCAAGTGAGTATAGAGCAAGCCGCCCTGCTGCATCAAGTGAGTATAGAGCAAGCCGCCCTGCTGCATCAAGTGAGTATAGAGCAAGCCGCCCTGCTGCATCAAGTGAGTATAGAGCAAGCCGCCCTGCTGCATCAAGTGAGTATAGAGCAAGCCGCCCTGCTGCATCAAGTGAGTATAGAGCAAGCCGCCCTGCTGCATCAAGTGAGTATAGAGCAAGCCGCCCTGCTGCATCAAGTGAGTATAGAGCAAGCCGCCCTGCTGCATCAAGTGAGTATAGAGCAAGCCGCCCTGCTGCATCAAGTGAGTATAGAGCAAGCCGCCCTGCTGCATCAAGTGAGTATAGAGCAAGCCGCCCTGCTGCATCAAGTGAGTATAGAGCAAGCCGCCCTGCTGCATCAAGTGAGTATAGAGCAAGCCGCCCTGCTGCATCAAGTGAGTATAGAGCAAGCCGCCCTGCTGCATCAAGTGAGTATAGAGCAAGCCGCCCTGCTGCATCAAGTGAGTATAGAGCAAGCCGCCCTGCTGCATCAAGTGAGTATAGAGCAAGCCGCCCTGCTGCATCAAGTGAGTATAGAGCAAGCCGCCCTGCTGCATCAAGTGAGTATAGAGCAAGCCGCCCTGCTGCATCAAGTGAGTATAGAGCAAGCCGCCCTGCTGCATCAAGTGAGTATAGAGCAAGCCGCCCTGCTGCATCAAGTGAGTATAGAGCAAGCCGCCCTGCTGCATCAAGTGAGTATAGAGCAAGCCGCCCTGCTGCATCAAGTGAGTATAGAGCAAGCCGCCCTGCTGCATCAAGTGAGTATAGAGCAAGCCGCCCTGCTGCATCAAGTGAGTATAGAGCAAGCCGCCCTGCTGCATCAAGTGAGTATAGAGCAAGCCGCCCTGCTGCATCAAGTGAGTATAGAGCAAGCCGCCCTGCTGCATCAAGTGAGTATAGAGCAAGCCGCCCTGCTGCATCAAGTGAGTATAGAGCAAGCCGCCCTGCTGCATCAAGTGAGTATAGAGCAAGCCGCCCTGCTGCATCAAGTGAGTATAGAGCAAGCCGCCCTGCTGCATCAAGTGAGTATAGAGCAAGCCGCCCTGCTGCATCAAGTGAGTATAGAGCAAGCCGCCCTGCTGCATCAAGTGAGTATAGAGCAAGCCGCCCTGCTGCATCAAGTGAGTATAGAGCAAGCCGCCCTGCTGCATCAAGTGAGTATAGAGCAAGCCGCCCTGCTGCATCAAGTGAGTATAGAGCAAGCCGCCCTGCTGCATCAAGTGAGTATAGAGCAAGCCGCCCTGCTGCATCAAGTGAGTATAGAGCAAGCCGCCCTGCTGCATCAAGTGAGTATAGAGCAAGCCGCCCTGCTGCATCAAGTGAGTATAGAGCAAGCCGCCCTGCTGCATCAAGTGAGTATAGAGCAAGCCGCCCTGCTGCATCAAGTGAGTATAGAGCAAGCCGCCCTGCTGCATCAAGTGAGTATAGAGCAAGCCGCCCTGCTGCATCAAGTGAGTATAGAGCAAGCCGCCCTGCTGCATCAAGTGAGTATAGAGCAAGCCGCCCTGCTGCATCAAGTGAGTATAGAGCAAGCCGCCCTGCTGCATCAAGTGAGTATAGAGCAAGCCGCCCTGCTGCATCAAGTGAGTATAGAGCAAGCCGCCCTGCTGCATCAAGTGAGTATAGAGCAAGCCGCCCTGCTGCATCAAGTGAGTATAGAGCAAGCCGCCCTGCTGCATCAAGTGAGTATAGAGCAAGCCGCCCTGCTGCATCAAGTGAGTATAGAGCAAGCCGCCCTGCTGCATCAAGTGAGTATAGAGCAAGCCGCCCTGCTGCATCAAGTGAGTATAGAGCAAGCCGCCCTGCTGCATCAAGTGAGTATAGAGCAAGCCGCCCTGCTGCATCAAGTGAGTATAGAGCAAGCCGCCCTGCTGCATCAAGTGAGTATAGAGCAAGCCGCCCTGCTGCATCAAGTGAGTATAGAGCAAGCCGCCCTGCTGCATCAAGTGAGTATAGAGCAAGCCGCCCTGCTGCATCAAGTGAGTATAGAGCAAGCCGCCCTGCTGCATCAAGTGAGTATAGAGCAAGCCGCCCTGCTGCATCAAGTGAGTATAGAGCAAGCCGCCCTGCTGCATCAAGTGAGTATAGAGCAAGCCGCCCTGCTGCATCAAGTGAGTATAGAGCAAGCCGCCCTGCTGCATCAAGTGAGTATAGAGCAAGCCGCCCTGCTGCATCAAGTGAGTATAGAGCAAGCCGCCCTGCTGCATCAAGTGAGTATAGAGCAAGCCGCCCTGCTGCATCAAGTGAGTATAGAGCAAGCCGCCCTGCTGCATCAAGTGAGTATAGAGCAAGCCGCCCTGCTGCATCAAGTGAGTATAGAGCAAGCCGCCCTGCTGCATCAAGTGAGTATAGAGCAAGCCGCCCTGCTGCATCAAGTGAGTATAGAGCAAGCCGCCCTGCTGCATCAAGTGAGTATAGAGCAAGCCGCCCTGCTGCATCAAGTGAGTATAGAGCAAGCCGCCCTGCTGCATCAAGTGAGTATAGAGCAAGCCGCCCTGCTGCATCAAGTGAGTATAGAGCAAGCCGCCCTGCTGCATCAAGTGAGTATAGAGCAAGCCGCCCTGCTGCATCAAGTGAGTATAGAGCAAGCCGCCCTGCTGCATCAAGTGAGTATAGAGCAAGCCGCCCTGCTGCATCAAGTGAGTATAGAGCAAGCCGCCCTGCTGCATCAAGTGAGTATAGAGCAAGCCGCCCTGCTGCATCAAGTGAGTATAGAGCAAGCCGCCCTGCTGCATCAAGTGAGTATAGAGCAAGCCGCCCTGCTGCATCAAGTGAGTATAGAGCAAGCCGCCCTGCTGCATCAAGTGAGTATAGAGCAAGCCGCCCTGCTGCATCAAGTGAGTATAGAGCAAGCCGCCCTGCTGCATCAAGTGAGTATAGAGCAAGCCGCCCTGCTGCATCAAGTGAGTATAGAGCAAGCCGCCCTGCTGCATCAAGTGAGTATAGAGCAAGCCGCCCTGCTGCATCAAGTGAGTATAGAGCAAGCCGCCCTGCTGCATCAAGTGAGTATAGAGCAAGCCGCCCTGCTGCATCAAGTGAGTATAGAGCAAGCCGCCCTGCTGCATCAAGTGAGTATAGAGCAAGCCGCCCTGCTGCATCAAGTGAGTATAGAGCAAGCCGCCCTGCTGCATCAAGTGAGTATAGAGCAAGCCGCCCTGCTGCATCAAGTGAGTATAGAGCAAGCCGCCCTGCTGCATCAAGTGAGTATAGAGCAAGCCGCCCTGCTGCATCAAGTGAGTATAGAGCAAGCCGCCCTGCTGCATCAAGTGAGTATAGAGCAAGCCGCCCTGCTGCATCAAGTGAGTATAGAGCAAGCCGCCCTGCTGCATCAAGTGAGTATAGAGCAAGCCGCCCTGCTGCATCAAGTGAGTATAGAGCAAGCCGCCCTGCTGCATCAAGTGAGTATAGAGCAAGCCGCCCTGCTGCATCAAGTGAGTATAGAGCAAGCCGCCCTGCTGCATCAAGTGAGTATAGAGCAAGCCGCCCTGCTGCATCAAGTGAGTATAGAGCAAGCCGCCCTGCTGCATCAAGTGAGTATAGAGCAAGCCGCCCTGCTGCATCAAGTGAGTATAGAGCAAGCCGCCCTGCTGCATCAAGTGAGTATAGAGCAAGCCGCCCTGCTGCATCAAGTGAGTATAGAGCAAGCCGCCCTGCTGCATCAAGTGAGTATAGAGCAAGCCGCCCTGCTGCATCAAGTGAGTATAGAGCAAGCCGCCCTGCTGCATCAAGTGAGTATAGAGCAAGCCGCCCTGCTGCATCAAGTGAGTATAGAGCAAGCCGCCCTGCTGCATCAAGTGAGTATAGAGCAAGCCGCCCTGCTGCATCAAGTGAGTATAGAGCAAGCCGCCCTGCTGCATCAAGTGAGTATAGAGCAAGCCGCCCTGCTGCATCAAGTGAGTATAGAGCAAGCCGCCCTGCTGCATCAAGTGAGTATAGAGCAAGCCGCCCTGCTGCATCAAGTGAGTATAGAGCAAGCCGCCCTGCTGCATCAAGTGAGTATAGAGCAAGCCGCCCTGCTGCATCAAGTGAGTATAGAGCAAGCCGCCCTGCTGCATCAAGTGAGTATAGAGCAAGCCGCCCTGCTGCATCAAGTGAGTATAGAGCAAGCCGCCCTGCTGCATCAAGTGAGTATAGAGCAAGCCGCCCTGCTGCATCAAGTGAGTATAGAGCAAGCCGCCCTGCTGCATCAAGTGAGTATAGAGCAAGCCGCCCTGCTGCATCAAGTGAGTATAGAGCAAGCCGCCCTGCTGCATCAAGTGAGTATAGAGCAAGCCGCCCTGCTGCATCAAGTGAGTATAGAGCAAGCCGCCCTGCTGCATCAAGTGAGTATAGAGCAAGCCGCCCTGCTGCATCAAGTGAGTATAGAGCAAGCCGCCCTGCTGCATCAAGTGAGTATAGAGCAAGCCGCCCTGCTGCATCAAGTGAGTATAGAGCAAGCCGCCCTGCTGCATCAAGTGAGTATAGAGCAAGCCGCCCTGCTGCATCAAGTGAGTATAGAGCAAGCCGCCCTGCTGCATCAAGTGAGTATAGAGCAAGCCGCCCTGCTGCATCAAGTGAGTATAGAGCAAGCCGCCCTGCTGCATCAAGTGAGTATAGAGCAAGCCGCCCTGCTGCATCAAGTGAGTATAGAGCAAGCCGCCCTGCTGCATCAAGTGAGTATAGAGCAAGCCGCCCTGCTGCATCAAGTGAGTATAGAGCAAGCCGCCCTGCTGCATCAAGTGAGTATAGAGCAAGCCGCCCTGCTGCATCAAGTGAGTATAGAGCAAGCCGCCCTGCTGCATCAAGTGAGTATAGAGCAAGCCGCCCTGCTGCATCAAGTGAGTATAGAGCAAGCCGCCCTGCTGCATCAAGTGAGTATAGAGCAAGCCGCCCTGCTGCATCAAGTGAGTATAGAGCAAGCCGCCCTGCTGCATCAAGTGAGTATAGAGCAAGCCGCCCTGCTGCATCAAGTGAGTATAGAGCAAGCCGCCCTGCTGCATCAAGTGAGTATAGAGCAAGCCGCCCTGCTGCATCAAGTGAGTATAGAGCAAGCCGCCCTGCTGCATCAAGTGAGTATAGAGCAAGCCGCCCTGCTGCATCAAGTGAGTATAGAGCAAGCCGCCCTGCTGCATCAAGTGAGTATAGAGCAAGCCGCCCTGCTGCATCAAGTGAGTATAGAGCAAGCCGCCCTGCTGCATCAAGTGAGTATAGAGCAAGCCGCCCTGCTGCATCAAGTGAGTATAGAGCAAGCCGCCCTGCTGCATCAAGTGAGTATAGAGCAAGCCGCCCTGCTGCATCAAGTGAGTATAGAGCAAGCCGCCCTGCTGCATCAAGTGAGTATAGAGCAAGCCGCCCTGCTGCATCAAGTGAGTATAGAGCAAGCCGCCCTGCTGCATCAAGTGAGTATAGAGCAAGCCGCCCTGCTGCATCAAGTGAGTATAGAGCAAGCCGCCCTGCTGCATCAAGTGAGTATAGAGCAAGCCGCCCTGCTGCATCAAGTGAGTATAGAGCAAGCCGCCCTGCTGCATCAAGTGAGTATAGAGCAAGCCGCCCTGCTGCATCAAGTGAGTATAGAGCAAGCCGCCCTGCTGCATCAAGTGAGTATAGAGCAAGCCGCCCTGCTGCATCAAGTGAGTATAGAGCAAGCCGCCCTGCTGCATCAAGTGAGTATAGAGCAAGCCGCCCTGCTGCATCAAGTGAGTATAGAGCAAGCCGCCCTGCTGCATCAAGTGAGTATAGAGCAAGCCGCCCTGCTGCATCAAGTGAGTATAGAGCAAGCCGCCCTGCTGCATCAAGTGAGTATAGAGCAAGCCGCCCTGCTGCATCAAGTGAGTATAGAGCAAGCCGCCCTGCTGCATCAAGTGAGTATAGAGCAAGCCGCCCTGCTGCATCAAGTGAGTATAGAGCAAGCCGCCCTGCTGCATCAAGTGAGTATAGAGCAAGCCGCCCTGCTGCATCAAGTGAGTATAGAGCAAGCCGCCCTGCTGCATCAAGTGAGTATAGAGCAAGCCGCCCTGCTGCATCAAGTGAGTATAGAGCAAGCCGCCCTGCTGCATCAAGTGAGTATAGAGCAAGCCGCCCTGCTGCATCAAGTGAGTATAGAGCAAGCCGCCCTGCTGCATCAAGTGAGTATAGAGCAAGCCGCCCTGCTGCATCAAGTGAGTATAGAGCAAGCCGCCCTGCTGCATCAAGTGAGTATAGAGCAAGCCGCCCTGCTGCATCAAGTGAGTATAGAGCAAGCCGCCCTGCTGCATCAAGTGAGTATAGAGCAAGCCGCCCTGCTGCATCAAGTGAGTATAGAGCAAGCCGCCCTGCTGCATCAAGTGAGTATAGAGCAAGCCGCCCTGCTGCATCAAGTGAGTATAGAGCAAGCCGCCCTGCTGCATCAAGTGAGTATAGAGCAAGCCGCCCTGCTGCATCAAGTGAGTATAGAGCAAGCCGCCCTGCTGCATCAAGTGAGTATAGAGCAAGCCGCCCTGCTGCATCAAGTGAGTATAGAGCAAGCCGCCCTGCTGCATCAAGTGAGTATAGAGCAAGCCGCCCTGCTGCATCAAGTGAGTATAGAGCAAGCCGCCCTGCTGCATCAAGTGAGTATAGAGCAAGCCGCCCTGCTGCATCAAGTGAGTATAGAGCAAGCCGCCCTGCTGCATCAAGTGAGTATAGAGCAAGCCGCCCTGCTGCATCAAGTGAGTATAGAGCAAGCCGCCCTGCTGCATCAAGTGAGTATAGAGCAAGCCGCCCTGCTGCATCAAGTGAGTATAGAGCAAGCCGCCCTGCTGCATCAAGTGAGTATAGAGCAAGCCGCCCTGCTGCATCAAGTGAGTATAGAGCAAGCCGCCCTGCTGCATCAAGTGAGTATAGAGCAAGCCGCCCTGCTGCATCAAGTGAGTATAGAGCAAGCCGCCCTGCTGCATCAAGTGAGTATAGAGCAAGCCGCCCTGCTGCATCAAGTGAGTATAGAGCAAGCCGCCCTGCTGCATCAAGTGAGTATAGAGCAAGCCGCCCTGCTGCATCAAGTGAGTATAGAGCAAGCCGCCCTGCTGCATCAAGTGAGTATAGAGCAAGCCGCCCTGCTGCATCAAGTGAGTATAGAGCAAGCCGCCCTGCTGCATCAAGTGAGTATAGAGCAAGCCGCCCTGCTGCATCAAGTGAGTATAGAGCAAGCCGCCCTGCTGCATCAAGTGAGTATAGAGCAAGCCGCCCTGCTGCATCAAGTGAGTATAGAGCAAGCCGCCCTGCTGCATCAAGTGAGTATAGAGCAAGCCGCCCTGCTGCATCAAGTGAGTATAGAGCAAGCCGCCCTGCTGCATCAAGTGAGTAT